TATGATCAAGTAGCTGATCATATAAATGAGTAATTCTATAAATGATTACCTCTTGAAACTTATCTACAACAAACAGGATCCCATTCACATTTTTAACGCAAAACCCCAAACAGTTGCAATTTTCTCTAAGTCGTACGTGGTACACATCCATTGAAATCCCCATTATACACTATTTTACAGACTCATAGTCCCTCAACGAATCAGACGCAGTCAAATGATTTTGTGTGATCGTTTTATTGCCGTTTCACCACAATTTCCAAAAAAAAGAAAACGAGATTAGATTTTTGAAGTCTTTTAATAGTTTCAGTTTACATTACGCATTATTTTTATGGTACATATGTATTAACTTGCCAATAATAGTTATTTGCTCTTTTTGCTTGGCAAAATTGTTATTGAAGCGCTTAAACTATCTTATGAGTAGTGAGAGATTTTGTGAAAGAAATCACAAACGATGGAAAAATAACGAAAAACAGATGTTTTGACGCATCATCCATTTAATTCAGCTAATAAAAAAACGAGTGTAATGCCGATCATTCGAAGCATTTGAAAACGCGTTACATTTTCAATTAAACGTGTGATCAGATGCCATTAACTGCTAAATGAAATACTTTTAGAGCTGTGAGCTGGAGAGAGATATCTCTATCTCGGATATCTCTAATAGGCTAATTATGGTTGCGGCTTTGAAGATTTCAAAGTTATGAAAAAGTCTGGTAAAAGCACGATTAGAACTAAACAAAATTTTCAAATAATACTAATTTCCAGATGTTTTGTGACTAACGAATGTGAATGTTTAATGTTTGGCACTTATCGCTAGCTTTTTCACGCAAATTAGCTCTCTTATCCTACTTCAAATACTAGTAGCTTACACTTATCTTTTGATCAACAACAATCAATAAAACAAGTCAAATGGAGATATAATGATCAATGGACGCTTTTCTTTAGAGGCCTATAGGACTGAAGTTTTCAGAGGATCTATTAAGTGAAAAATTCCATGATATGGATGAAGCAAATCCCGATTTGAGCCTGATGAAGTGGGGAATTTCCACAACAAGGAATTAATCACCAAACAGAAATCATGACTTAATGACCCACCTGCTTTCGGTAATCGACGAGATTGTACTCGGGACATACGCTTTACGATAGCGTTCTTTCCGAGGTCTTCGCTGCCTGTGAGGTTTCGCGAACACGTTCGTGCCACTCGGGCCGGGCGCTGAACCCAATATCCCTGAGGCTGCTGCAGCTCCAGGCACAGGAATTCCGCCATATGCGCTAGACGAACAAGCCTCTGAGTTGAAGGTGAACCTGAAAATCGACTGAATCATACTCAAATGATCTGATCTAGCCGTGAGATAGATTTGCATTTTTCTCATCTTTCGAATAGTCTTCGGACTGATAGAATGTTAGCGATTGATTCAACGTTTCGTTGAATTGGTGCCATGCTAGGTTGCTGGGTTGATTGTAGAAATCAGGAGAAAACTCAAAATAAGCTGACACGAATCGGAAGCGAATTTCCAACAAAATTAGACTTCTTTAACCAAAAAATATCCCTTCGATTCGATCAAATAACACCCAACAACACAAAATAATTCGTATGCGCTCGTTTCAAACCTCGAGTTCGATTCCTCCAATCTGTAAGGGTCCTCTGAATTCGACGTGTACAGCTCGGCTAGACCTTCACCAGCACGTTCTGAATACAGTTTTATTATTACTATCATCATTGACGATCAAAATTTATACTTGTTATAATGTTTTTAGAAACTGTTGTAATTTTTATAAATGTGAATTGAAGCTGCAAAACATTGCAAAAAAATATTACAGAGATTGAAAATTGTGATCATCCGTCTAGTTATGATCACTTAAAGATGATCAACTACTATAACTGAAACAGTCGTATCTGATCAACTTTACAAAGAGTGTGCTGGAGATTATCATCACAACAGATTTCTGGACTGAAATCTCGGTTCGTATAATCCCAAATCCCATAAAATCATTTGAATGAACAAGCCACTAGATCAAAACGAGATCAAAACGATAAGATCTGACTAATCAGCTAAATAACAGTGAAAACACTGTCTAATAATAACAGCAGAGAGCATTACTATCAGTCGCAGTTGCAACGTTGAGAATTTGGACGATCTTATCATTTGTTAATGTTTTATCAAGTTCTTATCATGAATATTGATAGAATATTATCAATATCATCATTGTAATGATACAAAAACTGACTGCTGATAACTGTTGATAGACTACTTGCAGTGATACTATCTTCAGTGCAATTTCTCACTGATTCACCACGATGATCAGCGATTGCGGCGGGATCCAAATGGATCAGACCATTATTTACCATTTCATGCAGGGAACGTCTCTTCCTCGCATTCGAATCCTTCAATGGAATTGTTCACAGTTGCCAGCTTATGACAATGTGGAGAGTGAGCTTTTCAAACATCCACAAATGCATTCATTCAATAGAATTTCTTCATTCATTCAGAAATTTTTCGTTTGAATAAAGTTTTTGAAGTGAATTTGATGGAAATTTAGTGAAATTTTCTCTGATGATATATATTTTATAATTTTTTGATGATTATCGAGGAGTTATTTGTTATTTGTGGTTTTCTCGATGGATTGCTATGGAAACTTTTGTGATTCAATGAATTCTGCATGGATTTGGGTCGTTTCTGTTGAGAGACTGACCATAATTTGTTGCCGGACATCGTCGATGCCACCAGCGGATGGCACTGCGGCCGCGGCGGCCGCACTAGGGGCAGTCAAATGCTTGCGAGGCACATTCCTCGGTAGCGTTCCAGACGGAGTGTTCGTCGACAGCAGCACCAACTCGATCAGACCGTTGGCGGATTTTTCCAGTTTACACGAATCATCACGAATCTCAACTTTCACCTCACTGAAGCAATTGATATCTCTGCTTGACTCTACTCGTTTTGACTATTTATGGGAAAATGGCTAACTGTATAGTTTGCAGTACGGATCTAGTGCCATCAAACGGATCTGAATTAATTTTTAGAAGCCTGAGCCGAGGCAAATCCTTAATTGTAAGCCTGTAAGCCTCAATCCAGGCCAAATTTTGAGTTTAAACTCGAAATTCGAGTTTAATCGGAGCCGGTGAGGCTGCTGCTGCTAATCAGCCAGCCAACTTCTGTACTGCTACAACCGTAGAGATTTTTGAGATTGCCAGACTGTTCATTTGATCATCAATATAATAATGGATAAATTCATTCGTTTCTTCATGCTTGTATTTTTATCATGATGTTTGAAATGTAAAAGCTGGATGTTTTGAAGGGATGAAATTGGGTGACTACTCATTCCGCCGTCTGCTCAAACCCTTCCAAGCTACTACTCACCATCCGATGGCTCGGTCGAGTTGCTTACAAAAATATTTGTATCCTTTTCGAGTGAAAACTTTCTTAAAATCACCCAACGTAATCACATCATCGGCCACCGGTATCACCGATAGATACGGTGTGTTATCGTCCAAATAATAGTAGACCTGAAATTAAATTTGATACGATTGATCACAATAGCGCAAGAGTTCTTTCATCTATGAATGCGCTGCATTTCAGATGCAACTATGCCTATGATT